ATCTTTAGTTCATAAAAAAATAAAAATTCAAAGGTTTAACTCCTTGAACAACAATTCATACATTTACACATTTCTCCAGAAAACTATTCTTTACCATTCTCTTAAATATACTCATTGATCTGGCATTTTTAATCCCATCTTCCAGATTATTCCATAATTTAATTCCCTGGACTGAAGTACTCCGTTCCTTCAAACTGGTTCTAACTTTAGGTCTTACAAACATCTCTATCCCTTTGAGATTATAACAACTCTCTTTTAACAAAATGTAATTGGATGTTTGAAGGTAATGTGTTTTCATGAGCCCTATACATTTTTATTTATTTACTGTTATTTTACCAGGCAAATCCCATTGAGATCTCAGATCTCTTTTTCAAGGGCGGCCTGGGCCTGAAGGCAACCTATTGTACATGTTTTTGTGTTGTGGGGGAAACCGGAGTACCCGGAGAAAACCCACGCAAGCACGAGGAGAACATGCAAACTCCGCACAGAAAGACCCCAGGTCCGAACCGGGGATCGAACCCAGGACCTTCTTGCTGTGAGGCGTTGGTGCTAATCACTGAGCCGTCGTGCCGCCAACTGATAACACATAACTGATAAAATACTATAATCAACCAAATCATAGAATTTCAATAACTTCAACTGATGGAACAATGAATGTGATGGGTTACAGTAATGCTTTCTGGTGATAATTCTTACAGCTCTTTTCTGTAAAACAAAAATTGGGTTTGTAATGGTTTTGCATGACTTTCCCCAAACATCAATATAGTAGATCAGTGTGGAACAATTATTGCATTATATTATACAAACAGAACTTTATCATTAAATAAATCCTTTACTTTGTACAATACTGCAATGGATTTGGCTATTTTTGTTCTTAAATGATTTTTATGAGGTCTCCATGTTAGCTTCTCATCTATGATAACGCCCAAATACTTCGCCTCACTGACTCTGCAGATCTCAATACCATACAATACACCCTGACACATTTACCAAATCATTTACTTATAAAATAAACAACTTTGATCCAAGTACAGAACCCTGAGGAACCCCATATGTAATAGTACTTAATTCAGATCTTGTATCATTTATCTGTACAAACTGTTTCCTATCCTTTAAATAACTAGACAAACACTTTAATGCTGGTCCTCTAATACTGTATTTGTTCAATTTTTCATGTAGAATGATGTGGTCAGTGGTGTCAAAAGCTTTCTTCAAGTCAACGTAAATGTCTTACAAGACAGGTTGCACCAGGATCTACACAACTAATGTCACCTTCCTTAAACAATCACCAAAGTTCTTTGTTGGCAAAATTGATTTATGAGATCATTTTAGGCAGGTGTTGCTATAACAGACTGCTTTGACTGATGATCAAAAAGCTGCTGCTTAGTGAACTCACAGGAACACTTTAAGCTGGAGGATACATTGTCAGATATGTTTATTCAAACTATAAAAAACTAATACTAGAACTAATTAAAACTAAACTAAACTAAAACTAAGCATTAAAGCACAATAATAACTAATAAAAAACTACTAAATCCGTGCTAAAAACTAATTAAAACTAACTGAATTAAAAGAAAAAAACGTCACAACTAAATAAAACTAAACTATAATGAAAAATCTAAAACTATAACCTTGCTTTGGTCTGGGAGCATCTTGGTGATCCTCCAGGAGGAGCTGGAGAGGGAGGTCTGGGTTTCTGTCCTGGACCTGTTGCCTCCACGACCAAACTACAGAAAATAACAGACCAGTCTTTATTTTCATTGAACAAGCCTGTTCAATAAGTTATTATTTTTTGTTTAAAAACGTCCAGAACTGCCAGAACAGGAGTAAAGTGGGCCGACAGGAAGCGGGCCTCAGAACATGAGTGTCAGTCTGGAACGACGTGGATTTTTACCAACAGTTTGAACCTTTTATCTCGTCACATCTCATAACGCTGCAGAGATCTTGGATCGTTTTACACGTCTTCAACACTTCATTCATCAAAATGTCAAGTTGTTTTAGGGACAGAACCTGCAGCGTTTCTATTCAGGGTTTTCCCAGAAACCATTTTTCACAATAAAATAATTTCTGGAATGAAAATGATGTCTCCAGACTTGTTCCATCTGTTCATCAGCTGCAGGTCTGACTGGTTGGACGGGCCGACTGATGATGCTCAGATATGTTATGTTATGTTTTGTTAGCGTTTGTTCTGTATAATAAAGGTGTTGCTCAGTCTTTCCACGTCCAGGTGGACCTGCACTCAAATGGGAGGAGTCTAAAACAGTGATGACTCAGCATAATTTTTACAGACAGCTCTTGAAAATTGTGAAGTTCTTTACCGTTGGCGTGGTTATAACCATTTGTAAAACCTAACTGAGGTCTGTTAGTTATTTTTAATGTTTCACCATTTTTTCCTCTAATTTAAACCAACAAATGAAAGTTTTAACCTGAAGAGATTAAAATCTGATTTTCATTGATAAAAATAAGAACAACTGTGGATGATTTTAGAACACCTGCTCCATCTGCTGGTCACAAGATGTGCTGAGGAGACCAGCATCGAGATGTTGATCCGAGTGGAGAAATTATTTTTACCAAAAGCTACAATTAGCAAAATTATATATCAAAGCTAAAATAAGCTTTACTGTAGCTAAAAGAAAAAAATGGTAAAAAATTAGCAACAGAAGCTAAAAGCAAAATGTTACAAAACTGCAACCAACATTTACAATTATAAACTACAGCTAAAAGCAAAAAAAAAAAAAGAAGTAGCCAAAAGCTAAATCCTGCAAAGCTTTGACTAAAAGATAAATCAGGAAACCTGTGTGGCTAAAATCCAAAATTATATAAAAGCTACATTTAAGCTTACTGTAACTGATATCTAAAAGTTCATAGCTAAAATACAAAAAAAAAAAAAAAATAGCCCAAATCTAAGTGTAGTTAAAATGGTAGGTAAAAGCTAAAAATGTTCCAAACAGTAGCTAAATGTAGCAAAACCACAGGTAAAAGCTCAAAAGTAAATGTTGATATTTGGAAAACAGTAGCTAAAATATTAGCAAGACAGTGATTGTAAGCTACAATCATTGAAACCGTGGGTAAAAGCTAAAATAAAAAAATAGTTGCTAAAAGCTAATGTAAACAAAACTGTAGATCAAAGCTAAAATTAGCAAAGCTAGCTAAAAAAAAGTAGCAAACCTGTGTTGCTTAAAGGCAGAAGGTCCTGTCGTGGTTCTGGTTCTGGTTCTGGTTCTGGTTCTGCTGGAGGTTTCTTCCTGTTAAGGGGAGTTTTTTCTCTCTGCTGCTGCGGGTGTGCTGCTCAGGATGGAGACTGTGATGAAGCAAAGATTCTGCGCAGTCTGCTGGCTTCTTTAGATTTATTGTTTGTTTGTTTGTTTGTTTTCATGTACAGTGCCCTGAGACAACAGTTGTTGTGACTTGGCGTTATAGAAATTAACTGAATTTAACTGAATTAAAGCCAAAAGAAGCAAGAGAAGCTAAAGCAAAAAAAGGACCACAACAGTAGCTAAAAGCTAAAAGTAGCTGAAAGTCAATCTGATGCCTTTGTTTCTGTTTACGTTGCACTGATGACTCTTTGTTTTTGTTTACGTTGCGCTGATGCCTCTGTTTTTGTTTTTGTTTACATCACACAGATGCCTCTGTTTTCGTTTACATTGCACTGATGTCTCTTTGTTTTGTTGCCTCTTTGTTTTTGTTTACATTCCACTGATATCTCTTTGTTTTTGTTTACGTTCCACTGATGTCTCTTTGTTTTTGTTTACATTCCACTGATGTCTCTTTGTTTTTGTTGTCTCTTTGTTTTTGTTTACGTTCCACTGATGTCTCTTTGTTTTTGTTTACGTTCCACTGATGTCTCTTTGTTTTTGTTGCCTCTTTGTTTTTGTTTACGTTCCACTGATGTCTCTTTGTTTTTGTTTACGTTGTGCTGATGCCTCTTTGTTTTTGTTTACGTTGCGCTGATGCCTCTTTGTTTTTGTTTACGTTGCGCTGATGCCTCTTTGTTTTTGTTTACATCACAAAGATGCCTCTTTGTTTTTGTTTACATTGCACTGATGTCTCTTTGTTTTTGTTGCCTCTTTGTTTTTGTTTACATCACACTGATACCTCTTTGTTTTTGTTTACGTAACACTGATACCTCTTTGTTTTTGTTGCCTCTTTGTTTTTGTTTACATCTCACTGATACCTCGTTGTTTTTGTTTATGTGGCACTGATACCTCTTTGTTTTTGTTTACATCACACTGATGCCTCTTTGTTTTTGTTTATGTGGCACTGATACCTCTTTGTTTTTGTTTACATCACACTGATGCCTCTTTGTTTTTGTTTACGTAGCACTGATACCTCTTTGTTTTTGTTTACATCACACTGATACCTCTTTGTTTTTGTTTACATAGCACTGATACCTCTTTGTTTTTGTTTACATCACACTGATGCCTCTTTGTTTTTGTTTACATCACACTGATGCCTCTTTGTTTTTGTTTACATCACACTGATACCTCTTTGTTTTTGTTTACATCACACTGATACCTCTTTGTTTTTGTTTACATCACACTGATGCCTCTTTGTTTTTGTTTACATAGCACTGATACCTCTTTGTTTTTGTTTACATCACACTGATACCTCTTTGTTTTTGTTGCCTCTTTGTTTTTGTTTACATCTCACTGATACCTCGTTGTTTTTGTTTACGTGGCACTGATGCCTCTTTGTTTTTGTTTATGTTTCCGTCGCCTCAGGGCCACGGCCACAGCCATCACACCGGGGCGGATCATTACTCGATGCCTCATGAGGACTTGGAGGAGGGGGAGAAGCTGCAGCAGAACGGCGAGGCTAACAGTTTAGCTCAGGGGAAGGTGGACGCAGGCGAAGGCGAGCTGATGCTCAGTCCTGGACAAACACCGCCGGTAGCTTTCCTTTCTTCAGACGGGGTTTTCTCCTGAAACACTCAAGATAAATGATTTCTACATCCTCCTGTCTCCTCAGGAGTCCCAGAGTCCAGACAACGTCTCCCGCTCCGGAAGGCGTGGCGGCGCCTGCTACTGGCTGAAAGGAACGACCTACTCTGACATCGGCACTCTGGCCTGGATGATCACATTGAGCGACGGGCTGCACAACTTCATCGACGGGTTAGCTATCGGCGCCTCCTTCACGGCCTCCGTCTTCCAGGGCATCAGCACCTCCGTGGCCATCCTGTGTGAAGAGTTTCCTCATGAGCTGGGTGAGTCCGGGTCGGGTCAGAACTGGAGGTTACGAATGTAACCAATGTTCCCTGAGGGAGGGAAACCAGGTACAACACATAAATATGGGGATTGCGCCCTCACAAGACCAACCTTGGTAATTTTACCTTCACTTTTCCCTTTTGTTTAATGATTGTTTTGCTCATTTCAGCTGTTTTGCTCGTTTTATCTTTTAATAACCTGTTTTCTTTTATATTTTAGCACCTGTTGTTTCAGCTGTTTTGTTTGTTTTCTTATATTTTAGCACCTGTTGTTTCAGCTGTTTTGTTTGTTTTCTTATATTTTAGCACCTGTTGTTTCAGCTGTTTTGTTTGTTTTCGTTTATATTTTAGCACCTGTTGTTTCAGCTGTTTTGTTTATTTTCTTATATTTTAGCACCAGTTGTTTCAGCTGTTTTGCTTGTTTTCTTTCATATTTTAGCACCTGTTGTTTCAGCTGTTTTGTTTGTTTTCGTTTATATTTTAGCACCTGTTGTTTCAGCTGTTTTGTTTGTTTTCTTATATTTTAGCACCAGTTGTTTCAGCTGTTTTGCTTGTTTTCTTATATTTTAGCACCAGTTGTTTCAGCTGTTTTGCTTGTTTTCTTTCATATTTTAGCACCTGTTGTTTCAGCTGTTTTGC